TGATGCACAATGCAATTGCTCACCACCCGCTGACCGATGCCCAGCCCGTCCCGAGCAGCGATCCCTCCCCCCAAGCCGCGATCACACAGCCCAAGCTGCGACCACTCTGCCTGCGATCGAACGACCGAACCGACCGAACGACCTAACTAACTAACCCCCCCGAGCATGACGTTATATGGTATGGAATAGCCCTTTGGTCAGTTTGGGTTAGCTGTCCTAGCTGTGCCGTACTCCCAGCTTGTTATGCACCTGGCTGAGCAGGAGAAGCTCAAAAAGTCCTTGAGTAGTCTGAGCACTACTTGGCAACAACTGAAAACATCAGAGTGTTATCAACATTCTTCTGGTACTAAATCCAAAACACAGCACTATGCTAGCTACTATGAAGAAAATTAACTCTATCCCAGCTGAAACCAGGACACTTCTGTTTTTTAAATAATTCAAATGGAGTTAAGTCATTATTAGCTTTGGGAGAATATATTAATGCTTTACTTAAACTCAGGGTAAACATGTTATACAGGGTTCTGCTCTTGATTTTTGGTGGGTTTGTTTGTTTGTTTGGTCAGGTTTTTCCTCCCTCTCCTGAATTCGGTTAAATATGCAAAAAGAAAATAACTGAATTTTCACGTATGTAAGTTCAGTATCTAGTCACAAAAATGGGAGTGTAAGAAAAAGAAGTGGGAATGAGTGATGGGAGCAAGAGGTGCAGGACTACTTCCACTTGTAGCAGTGCAGCAGTATGCTGGTTCAAAGAGATCATGAGACTATGGCCTGAGGTGCAAACCGTTAATTCAAGGTTAAAACTTATTCAGTTTTAGCCATATTTTAACATAACTAGTACTGTCTTGTAAATAAATGCCTTCCCTGCCAATTATAACTGCTGTGGTTGTTGAGATGCTCTACAGGACAATATCTTTCTGAAGGCTGTGGAAATTACTTCTATAATAATTAATATAAGAAAACCATCTCATATTTTGTAAATTATCTTTTACTGTATTTAAGAAATAAATTGGCATCATGTGATGAGAGCAGAGCAGCATTAACTGATGAGTATGCCATTTTTTTTCTTCTCTGATGACTATTAATGCTTTAGTGACCACCATTAAATCAAAAACTAAAGAGATGACCAAGCTTTCAGTAAGTGGAAAATTATCTTTCAAAATAATTTGTGCTGTGTCTGCATGTCAGTTTATTTTTACTTTTAGAATAGGTTGGAGAAATGTTTGATGGGTCTGCAAATTGTTGGATGTTGTCCCCAGAATGCCCGTTCATCTATTGTTCCTCTCCAACAAGGAGACTCTTATTCCCTTGAAGCTTTACCAGGTTCATCTGTCTGCTCAGGGCTTTCAGCAATGTCTTCTCTCAATGATAAATTATTGTTATCTGGATATATTTAGTATATTTGAATTGAAGTCAATACACAATTTTACTAAAGGAATAACAAATCCCTCAGGAACAATTCTGCAAAGAAAACAGGATTTCTTCCCTGTGCCTCTCTCCCCCCATCCTTATCAGTTTTCAATTACTTTCATTGTTTACTTTAAATTTAAATGGTACAGCATCTGTCTTCTGATTTGTATTCCTAATGACATTGCAAGCTATTGGAAAACAGAAAAATGTTTTCAAGTATCTGTTGTGAAGACAAGCCCTTGATATTAACTTAGAGAGTAATTTAGAGAACAACTTGTTTACTGAGGTTGAAGGAAAGAAACTGATACTCATCCAGGAGTAACTTGTTCTTGTGAAAAGACATCGTGGTGGGAAAGACATCAGCAGGGGTTATGCAGGTTAGTGTAAGATTATTATAAGTGTCTCAGAGGAACAATGTGGTACCTCTAACAGCTACAAATATGGACTCTGGTGGAAGTGGGAGTTACAAAGAAGTGCATGAAGAGAGATGAAATTTCAAGAAGAAACTCATTAAATACGATTATACAAATGACAGGTGGGTAGCTAGTCATGGGACAATTTCTGTCTCAGACCTTTACACATTATCAGACATTTTTAAAAAACAGCTCCAATTTAAGCACAAATTTAAATAAATAATTTTCTTGGGACTTGGTATTTTTGTTGTGAGATATAAAGAATTGGCTACGTCATTATTTGCCTTATACTGGAATAACAAGTAATTAACACTGAATTTCATAAAATTAATAAGTAATGGGAATCTAGTTTAACCACTGTAAGAGTTAAACACCAGGTGTCATGTTGAAAAGATCTCATTTTTTTTTCAGTATAAGTTATAATCCAACTAGTAACCTTTTTAAAAAATTATGTTTTGCCCCATTTTTATTCATTTACATTTTGTCACACACTGTGGGTAAAATTAACCATATACTTCAGAAGGTTCACACCAGGTCTTCCAGACCACTTAGGTATGTGCAAGGTAACAAGACAGAACAGAAGCCCAGTGGGATGCTGGTTTGGACAATACCTATCAGAGCATTTTTATGAAGACCATTGCAATGTTCTGGAAAAAAAAACCTAAACAATCTTCCTCTTCAGTGCAAAACAGTAATGCCTTTTTGTTTTTTCAAATGTTCTTTTTTGATGAAAAAATATACACTCTGGGGAACCTTATCATAGTCATGTCACATATAAAGAAACTTAATGGAAACACACAGTGTTCCATAATT